CTGTTCAGCAGGGGCATGGTTGGGGCACCCCCGTAACTGAGTCTGTACTCCACCCTCATTCCTCAAGCCACTGGGGATCTCAGCTGGTGGCTCCTGCATGAAGCTGTCACCACAGGTGTGTATGTGGTGAGCTTCACGGACAACCCAGTCTCTTGCCCTTTCTGCGGGCAGAGGGAGACCCTGGAGCACATGATCCTCAAATGTGCCAGGCTGCAGCCCCTCCACCTCCACCTCCAGAACCTTCTCTTGAGGTTCTGTTTGAATTTCACCCTCCACCTTTTTATTTTTGGCCATTTTTGGCCCCACAACCTGGGACCTCCTGGTCTACCTCCTCCTGGCCCTGGCCATGTGGGCCCTGTACTTAACCAGGAAGGAGGCTCTGGCCAGGAAGGTGCCCAGAGACTGTGGGGCCACTTGCCTTTCATTTGTCCATGCACTATTCTGGATAGAGAACCAGTGGGCAGTGTCCACCAGCTCCTTGGATGCCTTTGAGGGCTGGTGGGTTTGGCCCCAGAGAGCTCTACTTATTTTCCCCCTCTGGAGCACTTTTCACATTTTGAACCTTTGACCTCCCACATCACTCCTATCCTGTCAAGGCATTAGTTGTGTTATTGATTCATTGGCCCCACACCATGGGGGCTACTAATTAGTTGGGTGGGCCTTGAGCCCATGGCATTTGGGTAACACAAATAGACAGGAGCTTCTGAGGTCCAGCCAGTTGGTATCTGGGGACAGTACCCTTTGTGCCAGCTGGACTGCTGAAGCAGCCCTAACTTGGAGTGGTTCCTGCAAACTCTAACCACTGCAGCAGACTGGCAGTGGGGGCTGCTCCCTGGCTGTGACTTGCTGCCACCTGCAACAGCATCTGCCCTCTTGGACCTGTGGTCCCATGGCTGATTGCATGGCCACCCAGACTGTGGTACGGGCACTGCGGCAGAACCTCCTACACCTCTGGGCCAGCTGCCAGTGGGCAGTAGCTGAAAGTTGGCCTTTGGACAGCACTGCTGTCATGTCTTCTGGTGCCCCCACTCCGCCATCTGGGCAGCTATTGTCCAGAAGATGTGCTCATTTTAGTGGCCCACTTTGAACTGTGGAAGAGTGTCCTCTTGGGCCCAAATGGCCAGGAGGTCAGCTTCCTCATTTACCCTCCACTTGGGTCCCTGGTGCTGGTCCTGGGCAGACTCCTCTGCCTGTGTCTTGCCACTTGCCTCACCAGCAGAGATCCTAGTGTTTAAAAATTGCAAATTCTCTGATAAGAAACTCAAATCCCCTCATTAAAATACCCATAATCCACGTTCTTCTGCTATTAAAATGAAACACCACTATATATGGAGATATCAGTTGGGGAACTTTTTATTGATGCATTTACACTTTTAAAGCAATTTGGAAGCATTCCAAATTGAAAGCCTAGCAGTTGGGAAGCCTGTAGTGCCTCTATCATCATAATAAAATGAATTCTAAATACCTTTGGCATTTGCTTTTTTTATCATAAAAATATCAGATATTTTTATGCCCTCTTCGTTCACTGGTGCTGAGCCACACTGATATGCTGGTGTCCTGCCTCTGCCCTTCACTCCCAACTGAGCCCCCACAAGTGGCCCTCACTCCTGACCCATAACCCCTCCCTGTCCTCACTAGCTCCTTCCTGGCAGCAGCTCCATCCCAGCACCAGGACATGAATCCAGCTGTAGCTGCTCCACCCGCTGCTTTGTGGCTTCAAGCAGTGCAAGCCCTTGGTGTCATGCTCCTTGTGCCCGTGCCCAGGCCCCAGTGATCCCCATCACATTCCTGGAAAGCCCTCAACTGGGGCTCAGGGCCTGGGTTGAGTAAACCCCTTCTTTTCTAGGCCAGCTTCCCCCTGCACAGACTGCTCTAGAGGGGCAGGCAGTAGCAATGATTAGGGGGTGCATGCACGGGACTTATGGAAGTGGCATAGTTGCTTTCTGATGAGTGAGATTGGCCACAGGGGAACACACCCCACACCTAGTCAGTGAGATTGGTCAAGGGGGACCCCCCGCAATGTCGCTGACTCAAGAGGCACCAGTTGTCCATTGTGGCAGGGGAGCACTAAGCCTGGCTCTAGCAGCCTCTTCTACCTGGAGCGCTCCTGCAGCCCCTACTCCCACCTCTCTCTCTCTCACACCAACACCCCTGCTGCCACCTTCACCCCACCCATCACACCCCCCAATGGTTCCTGAAACTAGGAATCCCCCTCCAAGGCTGGGGCTGCATGTTTCAGCATTGGTGTGTGTAACAGGATGTGCGTCCTAGGAGTCACCGTGGTCTGTCCTAGCGCTCCCTTACTGTGCCAAGTTGCATAAAGGGCATCCTCCATTCTCACCCACCATGTCTTTGATGTTATATATGTATTATAGGGAGGCTGTCTTTCCGTTCTTTTGGCCATGGTTTCCTGCTGTACACTAGCTCATTCTATATTAGGTGTTTCTGTGTACCCCCAGCCTTATGGGCTATGCGTGGCTCCAACCACCTGTTTACCATGCCTCAAGCCTCGCAGATGTAATGGACGTTGTTCAGTCTTACTCGATGTCTCACTGATATTTGGGTTCTCCGCAGCCCTGTCTTGCTCTGCGCCTCATTGGCGCCTGGACTTTCCACAGCCTTGTCTTGCTCTGTGCTTCACTGGTGTTCTGGTTCTCCACAGCCCTGTCTCACTCTGTGCCTTGTCTTGCTGTGTCTCACTGGCGCGCGGGATCTCCACAGCCCTGTCTCACACTACGCCCCACTGGCGCTCTGGCTTGCCACAGCCTTGTCTCGCTCTGCACCTTGTCTTGCTCTGCATCTCACTGGCGCTCGGGCTCTCCACAGCCTCACTCAGCACCTTACTGGGCATTTGGGGTCAGCACACTCCCCTGGCTATGCCCTTTCTGGTGCTTGGGGTCGGCACACTCCCAATGCTGTGCCTTGTCTGGCACTCAGAGTCAGTACACTCCCAATGCTTCCCTTTACTGGCATTTGGTGGTTGCTGCCCCCCCCCAGGTCTTCCCAATCGCTGCCCCCCTCTCTGGGGCTTCCCAATCGCTGCCCCCCTCTCTGGGGCTGGGGTCCCCACTCTACCGTGAGTCCTGTATGAGGCCTCTTCCATCCCCTTATAGCTTCACCCAAGCCACCAGTCTAACAGCAAACAAAACACAAGCCCCTGGGCTATAACATAAGCTCAAGCCAGCTGGCTATATGAACATTTGAGCCACCCCAAGGGTTCTCCATCTCTCACCAGTATCACGTTGCTCAGACATTCATGCTTCTACCTGCTCACTCAGGCAGAGCTCCTTCACCCTTGGCTGCTAGCAGGGAACTTCCCTCCTGGCCTCAGGCCTGGGATTTATATAGGAACCAGGCCCGGCCCCTTCCAGTCAGCTGACCGCTAACAGGTCTGGGTCACTGGCTCCCTCCGGTTGCCCTAGCAACCTGTACCTGGGCTCCTTCCTCACTGCTCCCAAAGTAGCAGGCACCTTAGTGCCCTGCTACAGTGTGGGTATGGGGCAGGGCTGCAGTGTGACAGTTGCCCCTGCAGCTGGGGCTCCTGCCAGCAGGTCCCACTGCATCCCATTTGGCAGCTGGGCATGCTGGCATGAGCTCTGTGGGAGGATGCAGGGTTTGGGGGGAAGGGGTATGGGGGTTGGCTGTGGGGTTTGTGGGTGATATGGGGCTTGCGCAGGGGTTTGGGGGGTGTGGGGTTTGTCGGTGGATTTGTTGGGTGGGACTGTGTGTGTGGGGGTGGGTGGGACTGCTCAGGAGAGGTGGGTCCATCTGCATAGCCCACAGCCCACCCTGAAGCAGCAGCAGCAGCTGCAGCAGCCATCAGAGCTACTGGCAGAGCCCCAACCCAGCACTGCCTGTGTGATACGGCATTGCGCCAGCTCAGCCCACTCATGCACACCCTTGGCCAGAACTGAGACAGTCCTGCTGTCACCTGAGATCCTGGCACCACACGGAGGGGCCATGCACCCTTGCACTGGGCTGGGTCCTGCCTGCATGAAGCCAGCCCAACCCGAAGGCATGTGGGGCACTGTGCGCCATGTGGGGGAACCCACCCCTCTCAAGAATTTCCCTGCTCCCACCCCCACAATCCTCTCCACCCTTTCCCCACAATCCCTGCTTACCTGGGACAGCGACTGGGTCAATCCACCTCTGCAGTCATGCCCTGTCCCTATTTTCCCCAGCACACTGAGGCAGAGTATTAGGACAGGAGGGGCACAAGGTAGCCATAGACTCAGCCTCCAGGTGCTGAGTGTGAGGCTTTTTTTCAGGATGGGTTTTTTTTTTTTTTTTGGATACCTGGATTTCCTGGTATCAAAATTAGAGTTGGCACTGCAAATATGCAGCACGGAGAACATTTCTTCATTCCCAGCATGCCTCTTGTGCCATCTCAAACAGCATTGAGAGGCTGCAACAGGTACACGCTTGCTCATCTGGACACGCCCTTCAAGTTCCCAGTCTAAGAGTTCTTAGCTTCAGATATTTTTTTCTATATAAAAGAAGTATTTGTAAATCTACAATTTTTACGTTCCAAAATATAGAACAGGCAAAAATCACAACCAAAATATAATTACATTGCATGTACTGCATAAGAGAATATTTCTTGTTTTTTTTCAATGTAGCTATTTTTAATAATGTTAACAGTGCCATAAAATGATGAATATGATTGATATCCTGTGTCTTTGGTGGATATAGATGATTCAACATTCATCTAAAATCAAATCCATAGAATTACATGAAATTCCATAGCAGGAACCATTTGATTTGTAGAGTAACTAGTTAATAACATTCAGAGTTGAAGATATCAGAAGTTTCTGGTTTCCTTCAATATTTCATATCAGCTTCTCCCAAAGTTTTATGCTCCCAAATATGCTTTTATCTGTCAAAAGAACTATTTCTTTTTAAAGAAAAAATAATTTTATTAGAAGGTTATGGCCCATGTTTGTCAGACTAATTATTGGAAAAATATTTCTAGCATTGTATTACATAGCTCATTAACACAGTAACTGAGAAATATATCTTTATTATTAGTTTTTATATTTGTAAAATGTTTTTCTGGGATAACAGTACATTCCAACTGCTTTGTAACTGATGAACTTGACATTCTTGCAGCAAATAACTTCAATAACTTAGGATATGGGAGGATAGAGACCATTCCATTAAAAAAGAAATACAGATTATTTAAACGATCACTTTGAGATGACTAAAATAAAATAGAGAGTAAGCATCTTATTCATGAAGTCTGAATAGTTACACTTAACTCCTTATCAAAAAGAGTAGGCAATATATTTGAAAATATAAAGGTTACTTCACTTCTGACTTAAAGAAATAAGTTAATGTATTACTTAAGTTGTTTTTAAAGATCACTCTGTATTACCTGTATTTTTTTTCATTTATGTTAAAAAAGCCAATTGTGGGAAGCAATAGGAAGATTAAAATACATTTATGCCATCTGGATTGCAAAATAAGTTCTTATCCTATATTAACTGACAAAAAGAATATTCAATACAATTAACAAATCCTTTCTACCAGTCTATCATGACATACTGTCCAATCCAACAATGAAATGTCAAAACAAACTTTAACTTCATTAAAAATTAAATACCTGAATTGTTTTTAAACTGTTAATTTCAGTTGAAGCAGTGTTGTGAATGTTTAACTAAACATAAGATTATTTCTTATACAACATTTAGAATAAAAGCAAGGACTTCATATTTTCATTCTTCATTATGATGCCTTCTGGGATGTATGACATTTGTTGTTACCTGTTTATATGCTTATTGGTCACTTTTTATTTTAAATATACTGCAAATCCAGTGCTTATTGCAAGAAATAGTGACATTGTTATATTTTCTTTTAAATAATCACTTAATTCAGATTATAGTCATAATTATAAAAACAAGAAACATTTCCCACAAAGTCTTTATACACATACTGTAAAAACCACCTTCCACAAGCACAATTTACATTTTTTATGAATATTTGAAAAATAAATTACACAGACTTGACTCATCTATTCCTCCTTTTTCTTGAGAAAACTATTTTTGTCAATTATATCAACAGGATGTTAATATTTCTAAACATGATGTAAAGATTAACGTTACTAAAAATATACGTAGTCTGAGTAACACAGAAAATTCAGTCTGACAAACATGACAAATTGGAACCCATTTTAACTGACACAAACCAAAGGAAACAGACATTCCATGAAGTCCCAGTCCCACAGCCTTTTCTAGCTGCACACATATGTTCACTTGAAATCCATAGGACAGTTACCACTTTTAAACATTATTCATTATATATGAAACTATGAAGGACTGGAGCCTGAATTATCACCCCAGTTAAGACAGACTTATTCCAGACACTGTGCTGGCAGTTGTCTAAAAACAAGCACAGGATTTGAACATGCTGGCATATAGTGGAACATCTTCTGCTCAAGTTGCTGGCATGTAGGGTAAATTATCTCCCCCTAAAGTTGCTGGTCCACAGAGGTAAAGAATCTATTAATGCTACCCAGCAGCTTATGGTTTTAGGTATTAGATCCCAGGTTCTATTCCTGCTGAACTGTTATGGCAAGAGCTGTTATAACAGTACTGAAAAATATAAAGAGAAGAGCATTTCAAAGCAGTATTGAAGCCAGTGAAACTGCATCAAGTAATATGAGCAGAGAGTTTTGCCCTCAGAAGACCAATTTGTTTAGCTGATAAAATAAAAAATGGGACTACCATGAAATATTCCCAACAAGGTTGTACAACAGAAAATTCAGGATTGCAAATGCCAGCCTACTGCTCTGAACAACCTTGAGGACAGCACTAATGTAGACTTTTCACACCTATGTTTGTATATACATAGTATTTAGTCATTGAACAGGTTCCCTGGCAATCACTCTAATTAAGACTGAATATTAGCGTGCCGATTAAGTGGATTCTTCCAAACTTAAGCAAAAACATAAAATAGAAAAATAGATTATTAAGCCACATGCTGCCACTAAAATCTCTGGTTATAAAACATACATCCATAGTAGTGTACAGCAAGGTACTATAGTCATTTTAAATAGACTCTTGCAATAAATAAATACATAAATAGGAAAAACAAATGTTAACTGAAATAAATAAATGTTACTTCTCTTACTGAGCCAAAACTGAAGTTACTAAATAAATATTTCATTCTTTATATATTATATATATGCAATTAATGTGCGATGACTAAGTGAATATGAAAAAGTACAAGGCTCATCTAACAGACTTTATTCAATATCTGTTTTGTTGAAGCCTAACTCCTACGGCATTACATAATATTAACTCTTACTATAGCTGTTTGCTTTTTTTGCCCATCTTGGATTTTGCATTCACTTTTCTAGCAGCACTCACTGGTTCGCCTTTTCTCTGAGGCCTCCATAATTCTCTTGAACCATCACCAGCTTCATACACAATTTTAATGGGCTGGATACTGTTCCTGTCATCCTTGGCTTTCTTCAGGACCATTCTACCTTTTTGAAGGGAATGAGGCTTTGTTTCAGGGACATTATATGAAGTGTGCTGACTTCCTCGGCTTCTGAAATAATAATAATAAAAAAAATCAGCCTTGTTTTGTATATGCATCAAATGGCCTGATTTTTTAAGAGGTTGTACAGGATCGATCTATTTTTGGGTGGTAAAAATAGCATTCTTAGAGCTACTGTTCTTTTGCATTGAAGAACGTCATGTAACAACTGCAAATAGGAAGCAGAATTGCAAGCAGAATGGTCATTATCCCATGCAAATAAGAAATAAATATTAACTTCTTTAACAGAAGAAGTGTATGTGTATCATTACATGCAGTATTGTCACGTACTGTTGATGAACATGCCGCAGTGTTGGTTGATTCACTTAAGGCAGTGATTGTCAACCTTTTTGGGCGCATAACACCCCTCACTGGATTGGAGGCACCCCTCTATAAACTTCTGTGAATTGAGTAGAACCCAAATGCTTACCTCTTTACAGAAGGACCAGACAGTGGGTGTGGGGGACTGACCAGGCAGGACACTTATCTGCTTATTTTCTCACACCTCTCAGCAGCCTTCAAAGGCTCTAGTGGTATCTCAGAGTGTTATGGCACCCCAGTTGAAAATCACCGATTTAAGGTGAAATTTGCCACCTTGATGAACAAGGCACGCCTTGATTTGAAGTTTAAAGGAATGATACAATGCAGAAGAACGCTGGGTCTCTGCAAAGGGTATATTTCACCTTGCTTTGAAAACAATGGCATTTAATGCTGCAGCAGTGGAGAGAGGATCCTAGGATTCTGGTATTGAAACTGAGCTCTCTGGTTGTTGTAACACCACAGTCTGCCTTTTATTTTCAAACTGGCAGATAGCCTGCAGTGAAATTCAAGTACCTGGGCTCCTGACTAGCTGACCATTCAGAGAAATGTTAGTTTTGAAATTATGCTTTGGAGTTAATTTATGTTCTGAAAGTTGAGATGACAGGAGAGAGATTGGTGTGGGAAAAATATGTCTGCACCATAAAAGGTCTGCTTTAAGGAGCACCACAGTGAAGCACAGCTGCTCCACATTATCCTATGTAGGTGTTATATAAACACCTCATTATGGTGCTGGGTGCAAGCCTACTGGTTTGTGCCTACTGGCACGCTATAAGGTGGCTATGTTACATCTGCTTCAGTGTATGTTACATTCGTGGCGAGGACCAGCCATATTTTTACTGTGGTGCTCACTAATGCAGACCTTTGATACAAAAAAACCATAAGAGTTTCAGCCAGAAATGAAAACATGTCCGTGTTTGGGGTGACCTTATTGAAACTGATTGACTCGAGTGATGTTATTTGAGACTGACACCAGTGTAACTGAGAACAGAATCTTGCTGTCTAACTTGAAATTTTAACTTGAACTGAAAATACAAGACTTCCAAGTTTTAGTTAAATACAATTTTGACTATTTCCTTTTTACATCACCTTGAGATGTTTTATAGCAATTATTTATAACATAAAAGCAGTTATTTGTAATATTAAAATCAATACTATTAATCTAAGGCACCAGCACATCTACCCAAATACTACAAATAAAGCAAAGAACAGCTGGTTTGACATACAAATTTATCTGTTTAAGGATTCCCAGTAGGCTACTATTTTCCATATCTTATTGTTTCTGGAATTCTCATAGCATATCTGTAGTACTACTTGTACAGGGACTTAAATGGTATTGCGTATTTAATAGATCCCATTTTTAAAAAGCTGCAATTCTTCAAGTGCACGAAGTTCAAACCACCACATCCATAGAATTCAAAGCTACATTGCCAACTTAATTACCATTCCATAGCGCAGGCTGCACTTTTCATGTGTGAATTTCAGTTTTTAGATCATTAGCTGCAAACATTTCATGTTTTAATGTGTCCCAATATTTCATTTGATGTGAGATCTGCTCCCAAAATAAATGCACAATGGGATTCAATTTAAAAGTCTATGATAGCAAGAAGGGCACAGAAAACTACCAATAAAATAAATCTGTAGAAATAATCCTCTTTTCCTTTAAAGTTTGTTTAGTGTGAAAGCTTGCCCTTACACTATTGGGACTCTTGGTTTAAGAGCTTACACAGATGGAACTATATATTGCAACCAGTTAACTACTGAAGTTAAAAGATATGTTACTCTGTACTTATTAACTATCATGAAGAAATTAAATAATTTATTCTCAAGATAAGATGGCTACAGGACTACCCCAACATGTAATTCCAGTTAATTTATTACTGTACCAAATAATGTTATTAAAGATAGTATGTAGCATGCCTGAGATTCTCAAAGGAAAATATCTAAAGGAGATATGTACTTAAATCTCATTTCAATTAAATGGGAATGTGACCCAATGTCTGGACCCTAATTTAATAACAACAGAATATAAGAAAATGCTAGTCTAGCCTAGTACGAAGCAAAATACAGAAAATCCAATGCTGTCATATTTCACAATTTGAGCACAAGTCTTATGATGTGGTTTTACTTCTGCCTCCTGGAAGCAAGTGATTGTGACAATCTCAGCTTTCATTCTGAAACACATTTCTAGCCTGCAGGGTTACACAGAGATTTTTTGCAAAGGTAACCAAACTGCGCCCTGGTGACCATATTCGAAAGCAAACAAAAGAAACACAACTTTTTTACATTTTAAAAATCTCATGGTTCTTCAGAATAGTCTCATGGTTTTCAAAGACCTAATTAATTACTTTTTAACATTTTTGGATTTGCATATGAAATTGATCTGGGAGAAATATGCAGCCTGGCCTCTTTAAAGTGTGGTATCTAACTGGGTTCTTAAGTCTTTGAAAGTTACCCGTTAAGCATTGTTGAAGGCCTCTGCCACTTCTAAGTGGCTATTAAGCCCACACTTTCTTGTGTGTGTAGGAAACTGGGAAAAAAAACTGGTTTGGAAAACTAGGTAGAAACCCTGGATTAAGAGTTCTGCAGCATGCACGCAGGCCTGGACATGATACTGATAATGGACATCTGTGCGTACAGTAGAGTTACTATCCAGTCAGTACAAGAAGCTGATTGGTCAGAGAGGAGTTTGCCTTTAAAGGTTGTAAGTACCTAAACTGAGGATGCCTGCCTTGCTTAGATCGTAGTTATATAAGGAAATAGTTTCTTTGATTTTAATTCTATTTTCCATTCTTAATAGTTGTCTTTTATTGATTACTCTGGATGATTTCATGCAGGTGTCCCCTGAAGGAGAAAAGAAATCCCTTAGTTTCTATAAGGAATACCTGAAGAACACATTTCTAAAATGGACACCTCCTCCTCCCTCTGAAGCAAGAGATATGAACAGAGGTCACTGCACCCAGCAAGCAGTGTCTGCTTGCCACAAGTTGGTGGTCAAATAAGTGGTGAGAACAATGGGTGAAATGAGAGACCAGAAACATGTCCTCAGCTGATATAAACTGGCATAGTTCTGCCAACATTAATGGAATTATGATGATTTACATTAGCTGAAGATCCACCAAGGAGTTGCTGGTAGAACTTAAAATATCTTTTAAACATGTTAAATGAGTTTATCTACTTTTATGAACTAATTTACACAGCTAGATGTTGAAGTAGTACAGAAAAAGTTGTTACAGGAAAGATGCATTTAGATAATCTATAAGAAATGTTATTCTTGTTTTAGCCTTTTCAATATCAGTGCACTTTTAGATCAGGTGGTAAATCCTCACCTAGTATCAGCAGTCATAATCCCAGTGGGTGTAACTAATGTCAACTGAGGATCATCACTTTAGAGTGGTGGTAGGATTCAAACCTGGTTCTCTTGAGAAGCCAACTGATTACCCAAAATATATATTTAAATTAAAACCTACAGAAATGTGGAACATTATGTTGTTGTTGAGGTTGCATTAAACTGTAAATATATTTGGGTTATGCTTATACACAGGCTCAGCATGGCAACTCAACTGATGTGGTAACCCTGTTTAAATGTGCCATGACTTTACAAATTAAGCTAATTTAATGCTTTCAAAACAGATTTTCTTTTCATCCACAGAATAGATGTAGCAACAGCAGCAGAAGCTTCTCCACACTGCTTTAAGTCTGTTTTATAGGAATGCACTCTACATGTACTTCAGTCTGTCTGTTGATTCAGTCTGCAAGGATGCACCAGTTCCGATAGTTTTCTTGGGACACCTGTCTAATAAGTAGTCAGATGCAGACCTCCGAGACATTTTAATTTCCCAGCAGATGGAGGCAATTTCTGAATTTCATCATATTGCACTAGATTTAAACTAGTTCATGTCAGTGAAAAGAGCCATGTCCTGCCAAATGTCTCTTCAATTTTCCATTTCCACATCACTTATCTGTATGTGATTTCAGTAAAGTATGCATGATTGCAGAAATAAGATATATTAGGCCTAGTTTAATGCAGGCATAAGTGCTTGCAACTCCACTGACTTCAGCAGTTACATTCACACAGCCCAGTAATGAATCTGGCCAATTATGTTTATTTTTTTCCCTACTTCCAATCACTTTAATCGTTATAGAAACCTGAAAATGAGAGAGACTGTCAGGTGAACCATAAGTTAAAGTTTATATTCATGCAAACATGCTCTTTTAGACCATAACCCAAGAGAGGACTATTTAGTGATTTTTAACAACTGATTAGACAGATTTTTTTTTTCTTTTTAAAGGCACAAATTCCAACAGGGTTAAATAACAATTCCCACAATGCCTACCTGGAAGATGTAAAAGGGATTATTCAAGTTTAAAAATGCAACCCCCCCAAAAAATAACAACAACAACAACCCAACAACAAAGCCCCAAAACAACGTGAGATTAAGCTACATTTTTACACTGTTTTGGTACTTTAAGATATTTGTAATGACACACTGTTGATCTTGTTGATCAGGGCGTGTAGCTGTTTATATGTGGTTTTAAGCTGACAATGTTCCTTTTACACAAGAAATGGCATGTATAGAACTCCCTCACGGATGTTCATAACAGAATGTTAAAGACATTTTCATCTGGAACTCAGCATATGTTTATTGCCTAGATTCAACTACTGGTTTATCAAACTTTGTGAGTACCTTGTGTGGTCAATCAGGAAGCGGTAATTTATTTGACACCAAAGGAATCTATTTCTTTAGGAACATATTGTTTAATTTTTCATTTTGTAAAACATCTGGATTTCCTTTGTTACATTAAATAAAATATATATAATATCAAAATACGGGACTTCATCCAAAGACCATGGATATCAGAGTAATAGGCTCAGGATAAAGCTTAGACAACAAAAGCAGAAATGCAAGCATGTTAAAATATTCAAATACAAGAAAAATGAAATAACATACATACAGGCATCTGGGTTTCCTATTTAATGAGAAGTCTGTATGCTGGAACAAAACAAAAATATATTATTCACATTAATACAAACTTGCTAAATGTCACAGTTATCCACTGTCTCATAAATTATTTTATATCTATAAAATGTATGTGCATCTACCTCTGAACCTACAAAAAAACTCAGCACCCATGTAAATTAAATCCTGCTACAAATGAGTTCTTTAGATTGGAACAGAGGTCAGGTTATCTATGTATTTAGAAGACAGAATACCTTGCCTATTTTAGGGGGTGAAGGGAAAGGAGAAAAATTACTCTTGCACTTCCTGCATGGAAACTTGCTGCTTCCTAGCCCACATACAATAAATTCAACTAAGATGTCACATGGGGTGGCCCAGTGTTTGTAGGGAAAGAAAACAAGTTCCTAAGAACTCTGAAGTTTGTCATAGCTCGATCATATTTGTTTGGAAACAAATGAAAGGTTTCTTTTTTAAAGAATCTCTCTTTTGAGTCATATGGTCATTTTGTGTCAGACTGTTCTTCAACTACAATACTTGAGGACAGAAAAATGCAGAGGTAGATCAGCTAACTGTTATAAATGAGAGGAAGCAATTTTAAATTGAAACAAGGGCAAGAAAAATAAACAAAAGAGGGGAAAAGGTATAAAAGGAAATATTTATTCAGAGAAGATATCAAATGAGAACATGTAAGTCCATGACTGAGTCTCAGAACAAGGTAAAATTGATATATTACTGAAAACAGGAATAAGAGAATAAAAATGTGAGAGAATTGAATACTAAGTGGTTATGAGGGATACACTATATAATTTCAGAAGTGTTCTTTTGCCTAGTCCAGTGGTGCTCAACCTTTCTGGACTCAAGGCATCCCCCAGTGGACTTCAGGCAACCCTCCATAACTTTTTCTGAATTCAGTGGCCTTCAGTTTCAAAAGCTATAGCTCGTTTCCTTTCAGAGGGGCCTGGCAGTGGACATGGGGATCATCCAGGCAGGGACAAGCCTGAGCCTGCTTTTATCTGTTCAGTTTATCTGTTTATCTTGCACCTCACTTATCTGCTCACAGCTCTCGGCACTCTTAAAAACATCTGGTGGTACCCCAGGGTGTCCCAGCACCCTGGTTGAGGATCAGTGCTATAGATACTATAGTTATATCATAGCACATTTCTATGGAAAATTTACTTTGGCAAAGTTGAGATGTGGTTCTGTATCTTCCCAATCCAGTTATCTTGACATTATGACATTACCTTCCAGCTGTCTACTTTAGGTCAGTCACTCACATTTTTAAACTAAAATTTTAAATAAAGGGCCAGTGAAAGAATGTTTTAAAAATACTTACTAACAGCAACAGGCCAACTACTAAACCTCACACAGCATATCGAAGATGGTTTCTAACAGAAGTTGATCACCGGAGCAGATTTGGTTGACCTATCTGCTGCATATGATACTGTAACACTGCATCATGATCCACAAACTACTTTATGACTAACGACTCAGATCTAAGCCAGACCATCTGTAGCCTCATGGAGAACAGGCGCTTCTACATGTAAATAAATGGCCAGAAAAGTAGGTGGTGCTCTGTGACAGGTGTGCCCCTTTTGGGGTTTGTCCAATGGTGACCCCGCCCACCTGTTATGGGCCAACTGCCTGCCTTATCGCCTGCCATGCCTTGTTGTTAATTGATTAATTAAAAGATGTTAATTAAGTGGGAAGCTGCCCATTTTACCAGCCTAATGCAAGAGGGCACTATCTGTGGCTCCTTTCCTCCCCTACACTGCACCCCAAGCCTTGCAGATGGTACTCACATTGTTTAGTCTGGGCCTTACTCTATTTTGGCCCCCTTGCCCTCCTTGGGCTCTCCGTGGCCGTGCTTCACTGGGCGCCTCACTGGGAGTTCATCAAAACTGCCTCCCCTCTCTGGGGCTTCTCGCTGCCCCCCCGGGGCTTCTCGCTGCCCCCTCCTCTCTGGGGCTTCTCGCTGCCCCCCCCGGAGCTTCTTGCTGCCCCCTCCTCTCTGGGGCTGGGGTCTCCACCCAGCTGTGGCTCCCCTATGAGGGCTCCTCCAACCCCTGATAGCTTCACCCAAACCTCTGGTTCTAACCAGCAAACACAAAACACAAGCCCCCATAAAATCTAAGCCGTCCAGCTAAACATCATTCAATCCCTACTAGGGAATTCTGCACCCCATAACAGCAATCAGGAGCTGCTCATGCAGTCAGGCTTCTCCCCTCTGTTTGCTCCAGCAGAGCTCTTTCTCTCTTGGCTGCTAGTGGGGAACTGCCAGCCTGGGAGTTTAAATGTGAACCAGGCCCTTTCCCTTCCAGGCAGCTGATCGCTGGCAGGTGTAGGTCACCAGCTAACTTTGGTTGCCCTGGCAACCAGCAGCTGGGGCTCTGTGACAGGAGTATCAATACTGGAGCCTTTCTATTGGTGACACTGCCCTCCTGTTATGGGCCAACCGCCTGCTTACTCGCCTGCCATGCCTTGATCTTAATTAATTAATTGATTGATGTAATTAGCGGGAGGCTGCCCACTTTATGCGTCCCGGTGCCAGGGGGCGCTATTTGCAGCTCCTTTTCCTCCTCTACACTGCAGCCCAAGCCTTGCAAATGGTACTGACGTGGTTTTGACCTGGGCCCTGTTGTGACTTGGCCCTCTCCTTTACCTCCTTGGGGCTTCTCACTCTTCGTGGCCCTCTCTCTGAGCTCCTCACTGCCCCCCTCACTCTGGGCTTCTCACTGCCCCCCTCACTCTGGGGTTTCACAATGCCCCCTTGCTCTGGGGCGTTGCACTGCTCCCTTGCTGTGGGGCTCCTCACTCCTCGTGGCCCTCTCTCCGGGCTCCTCACTGCCCCCTCTTGCTCTGGGGCTTCTCACCGCCCCCCCTTGCTCTGGGGCTGGGGTCAATACACCACAAATGCTGTGCCCTCTCTGGCGCCAGGATTCCCACGCTACCATGGAGCCCCTATGAGGCTTCCTCCAACCCCTAATAGCCTCACCCGGTCCTGTGGTTCAAAACAGTGAACACAAAAACACAATATCCCTGGGCTATAACATAAAAGGCTAGACTGCCTGGCCAAACGACATTCAATCCCTACCAGGAAAACACTCCAACCCCCAGCAGCGACCTGGGGCTGCTCACGCAGTCAGGGTTCTCCCCTCTGTCTGCACTAGCCGAGCTCCTCCTCCCTTGGCCGCCAGAGGGGAACTGCCCTCCTGGCCTCCTGCCTGAGCTTATATGGGCCAGGCCCTGCCCCTTTCTGTCAGCTGGCTCCCCAGTGGTTGTCCTGGCAACCAGCACCTGTTACTCTGGCTGCCCTGGTAACTGGCAGCTGGGCCTCCCCCTTCTTGCCACTAGGGGTCTCTCCCGAGCTGTTTTCTGCTCTCAGGCGCAGGGCACCTGAGTGCTCTGCAACAGGCTCCTCACTCACTGCTAGGGCTCTTTCCTAGCAGTTTCCCCTCTCTAAAAGGAGCAGGGCGCCTAAGTGCTCTGCGACACTCTCAAAAGAAAAGCTTACCATAAGGCAGTGTGCTCGCCCCACTTTTATTCAACATCTACATGGTCAGACACTTCCTGCTAAATGCCAGTGTTTCATTTCTGTTGACAACCTCCACATTACGACACAGCAGAAGAATTTTGAGGACACAGAGAAGATCCAGGAGAAGGCACTGAACAAGATATTGGATTATTACCTAAATAATTTCCTAAAACTGAAACCTAGCAGAACCCAAATCTGTTCTTTGCATCTGAGCAAATGGGATGTGGAACAACACTTGAATGTCACCTGCGATGACCAGAGCCTTGAACATCAGAAACACCTGGTCTGCTTAGGGGTAACACTAGATTGAACACTTACAAAAAGCACATATTAAATACCAAAGCCAACATCAACATACGAAAAAACATTCTGCAAAAGCTCACAAATTTCAAGTGAGGAGCACATGTATCCACCCTATGCACTACTGCCTTAGCACTTTTTTCCTCTATGGCTGAATATGCCTGTACCACCTGAGGACTCTCAAGTCACAGTAAACATTGACACGGCCTTAATTGATACAAGCAGAATTATAACAGGATATCTAATATCCACCCCTATTGAATGGAGGCAATGAGGAAACCCCCCCAGTGAGGAGTTAGCATCTGGCTCCAATTACAAATGGCACACATGGCAAAGACAAATGGCACATGTGGCAAAGCATGAACAGATTGAGAGTGGGTCTTGGCAGATGCAACTTTGTCATGAAATCACAGGGCCTCTATGCAACCGACCAATGTGTTTGTCAGGAGAAGCAAACCATGGGTCATCTCCTGAGATGCCCTGTAGCACCACAGTGCACCCCACAGGATCTGGCAATGCCAATGCTAGAAGCAGTGGCCTGTGGAGAATATTTGGAACAGACCAGATAGAAAGGTTGGATTGGAGATACGATGAAGACAGCTAATAACAACAATTTTACATATGCAACGTACATAGAAAACTATATTTCTTTCTCTTCTTTTACTGGTAGAAATATTAGGAGGAAAAGTTCTTTGCCTTTTTACTGCTGATTATACTGATTATGCTTTCAACTTATTAAATCTTTTTTTAAACTCATGGGTAAAATGGGTTTTTTTCAATTTCTTATTGTAGCTATAATCAAAGTAAATTGCTAAAGAAGAATAGTGTGGGCTGAATGTAGCTACTTTACATTGGATTAAACAGTGTAGATACAGTAGAGGAAATTATTGTGTTCAAGATAATTAATAAGCTATAGTGCAAGAGTAAACTACATTAAATAAATTTTCCCTTACAGTCTTTACTTTTGCCAAAATGTACTTCATGTACAGGAACAATTAAGATCTCTGGCTTAGGTTCTTCGCTTGCCTTGAGTAGCATTCAGTGTATGCAAGGAAGGGAACAACACTTGATTTCTACCAGTTCTTCCTCTTTCATCCTTCCTTCCACAATCCCAGGTGCAACTGGTTTAGTTTTTGGCAAAATGGCAGCCTCAAAGCTGTTACAAGCTGTCTGGCTGCAATTTCTCAAGGGTTCATTTTGT